AAAAAATACACATCCGCATACACATACACGTACACGTACACATACAGAAACACATACACATACATCCCTCCTACGAACTGCAGGACCTTGTCGACGGTGGAGGGGCTTAAGGGATGTACTCAAACTAAGAAGCAGTTCAAACAGAGGTCTGTCCTTTTCAGGACCTCTTGGGAGAGAAGCCCAACTCCAAAAGAGGCGTGCAGGGTGGGATCCCTACAACAGCCCACCCCTAATGTCAAGGTGTTCACCGTGGTAAGTTCTGGAAGGCGCCAGGGGTAGTTGTCGTCGCGAACGGTGGTCCCTGGGGCACCAGGTCCCACCCCAGGTGTATTCAGTGGCCTGAGTCCAACAGCCGGGGCTCTGTTCGGAGTGGACAGCTATACTTCTTTAGGTACTCGTGGGAACATGATGGATAATAAAGTAAACACACAAAACGAAGATAAAAAGCAGGACAACGTGGCTCAAAAAACTGGGCCAAGGCACCGCGATCTCGATGGACTCGGAGTTTGAGGGTGACAGCTCTGCTCTCTCTGATAACAAGGCTTCCAAGATGAAGAGGAAGTCTCAAGATTCGCCACCGACGGGTAATAGGGACCTCAAGAAGAAGAAATATGAGATGAAGGCCGCTCATGCCCCGAACAAGAAGGAGGACGGTCTTGCAAATTCATCGAAGTCGGAGCAGGTCAAGCCGAAGAAGAAGGGGCAGAAAGCGCAGCCGCCAGAACAGCGCAAGGAAAAGGAGAAAAAGAAGCAGAGAGCACCAGTCATGAGGCCCAATGCTTTGATTGTACGCCCAAAGGACAAGCAGCAGTATTCGGAGGTGCTCAAACGAGTGAACCAGTAGATACCCTCCGACCAGGCTCGTGGCTGCGTCGACAAAATCCGCAGGACGACCACAGGAGATATGCTGATCATCCTATCAAAGGATAAGGAGGATGAAGCTGGCCGGTTACACAAGGCGATTGTCGAACTCCTTGGAGAAGAGGCTGATGTCCTTAGTCAAGGGCCACAGGAACAGCTTGGGATCAAAGACCTCGATGAGCTGACGAGGAAGGAGGAGGTGCTAGAGGCCCTCAAACTCGCGGCGGGAGCAGATTGCCAAATTGCCCCGGATGCCATCAGATCTTTGCGCAAGGCCTACGGAGGTACCCAGACTGCATCAGTGACGGTGGCTGCAGCGGCAGCGCAGAAAGTCCTAGGCGATCGCGGTAGGATTCGTATAGGATGGGTGAACTGCCGGATCCGAATGGTGGAGACAGTGACCAAGTGCTTGAAGTGTTGGCACTATGGACATCTCGCCATCAAACGCAAGAGCCAAGTAGACAGAGCGAAGCTCTGTACAAAGTGTGGCGAAGAGGGACACAAAGCTGCTGCCTGTGGAAAAGAGGCCCGCTGTGTCTTATGTGCTGAGAGAGATTCATCGACGGACTGTGCTCATACTGCTAGCAGTAGCAGATGCCCTGTCTTCAGGGAGGCACACCAGCAGGTGAATAGGAAACGATAATGCGGATACTGCAACTCAACCTCGACCACTGTGAGGCCCCACACGATCTCCTTATGGAGACGGTGCGCGAGCTGAAGAATGATCTGACGATCGTCTCGGAGCCATACAGACATCTGGGCAATCAGCCCTGGGAGACGGACAAGAGTCGCAAGGCCGTCTTCTGGTCTTGGGGAAAGTATCCGCTTCAAAGTGTTGCGACTACTGATGAGGCTGGCTTTGTGGTAGATACGCTGGATGGAATTTATTTCTACAGCTGTTATGCTCCACCAAGCCTCACCCTTGACGGATTCACGGACTGCCTGCACAGACTAACTGAGGACGCGAAGCAGCACTTCCCTATTGCAATCGCAGGGCACTTCAACGCCTGGGCAGTCGACTGGGGTAGCAACGAGACCAAAGCAAGGGGGCAAGCACGATTGGAGGCTATGTCTTCACTAGACATTGTCCTGCTGAACAACGGTGATGGACCCACGTTCGAAAGAGGAGTCAAGAGCTCAATAGTAGACTTTACCTTCGTCAGGAGTAATCTCGCAAGAGGAAACTGCTCCTGGAAGGTGATGGATATCTACACCGCTAGCGATCACCGAGCAATCTTTTGGGAGGTATCCGCTGGTCGAACGATCAGACCAACGCCTAAGAAGACAAACGAAATCGGGTGGAAGGTGAGCGTCTCCGATCCTAGCTCATTCTTAGTGGCACTAGATGATCACCCTATAAGTGGCAGCAGTGCTACGGAGAAAGCCGAGTAGCTTATGAGAAGAGTTAGCGAGGCCTGTGATGCCTCAATGCCTCGTCAACGCAGTGGAGGCCGTCTGCCACCGGCGCACTGGTGGAACGATCACATCGCCGCTCTTCGAGAGAAGTGCGTCAAGGCTAGAAGGTCGCCTCAGCATGGTCGGAAAAAACCAAACTCTGAAGAACTGGAGATGAAATCTAAGGATGTACGCCGAAAGCTTACCAAAGCTATCAAGGAGAGCAAGAAGCAAGGCTGGATTGGACTCCTTGACGAAGTCAAGAGTGATCCGTGGGGAAGACCGTACAAGGTGGTTATAACGCGGCTAAAAAGCCAGGCTATGTCATCTCCGTTATGCCCCGAGCTCCTGGACAAGATTGTAACGACGTTGTTCCCTCAACAACCGGAACTTCGCCAGTCCACGGAGCACAGCATGGAGACATTGATCCCACTAATTACGGAGGAACAAGTTTAGGAAGCTTGCGACAGAGTCGGAAACACCAAGGCTCCTGGTCTTGATGGAATCCCCAATATTGCTTTAAAACCAGCGATCAATGCAGCACCAGGACTGTTTCTGGACGTATACAATGCATGCCTGGAGGAAGGCACCTTTCCCGCCAAGTGGAAGCAGCAAAGACTAGTGCTCCTCCCCAAAGGGAAGAAGCCACCGGACGAGCCATCATCATATCGCCCACTCTGCATGCTAGATATATAGCTGCGAAAATCCTCGAGCGCATTTTCCACAGAAAGATAGAAGCAGCAGTAGAACCGCTGCTAGCTGATAACCAATACGGCTTCCGAAGAGGTCCCTCTACCATCGACGCCATTGTGCTCGTCATCAACACCGCCAAGGAGGCGATTTCTGGGAGAAGATGGAGAGAAGGTACGAAAAAGTACTGCCTGGTGGCGACGCTAGATATCAAGAACGCCTTCAACTCAGCCAGGTGGGACTGCATTATGGAGGCTCTCGAAAGGATGATCATTCCAGGATATCTGCGGAAGATGGTAGCTAGTTCACCGACAGAGTTCTCAAGTACGACACAGAGAGCGGCCCTAAAGAGTACCAGGTCACCGGAGGGGTACCTCAGGGCTCGGTGCTGGGCCCTCTCTTGTGGAACATCATGTATGATGGATTGCTGAAGGTAGCATTGCCAACTGAGGTGAGAATCGTGGCATTTGCGGATGACGTAGCGGTGGTGATTATGGCGAAGCATCTGGAGGAAATCAACTCCATCTTCGATACGAGATTCATGAGGATATGTCAGTGGATGGATCTAGTTGGATTGCAGCTTGCGGAGCATAAAACGGGAGCGCTGCTCATTACTAGTAGGAAGAAATTGGAGAGTATCACACTGCAAGTCGGTGACTACCAAAGCACATCTCAGCCGTTTATTCGGTATCTTGGAGTGATGATCGATGCCCGACTCAAGTTCAAGCAGCAAGCGGAGCATGTGGGTACCAAGGCATCTGGAGTCAGATCCACCTTAGCACGCCTCATGTCCAATATCGGAGGTCCTAACCAACGGAGACGAGCGCTGCTGTCTTCAGTGGTTACGTCAGTGCTTACATATAGTATTTCCATTTGGGATGACGTTCTCCAGCTGCAGGAAGCTCGCCGTAAAATTGCACCTGTCTATCGGCTGAGTGCCCTCAGAGTTGCGAGTGCATACCGGACGGTATCTGAGGACGCAGTCTGCGTCATCTCAGGAATGTTACCGATAGAGGTATTAGCTGAGGAGCGAAGATGCCTGTATCAACGAAAGAGATCGGAAGCGCTGAATCCCGAAGAACTGAAAATCCAAGAAACACGAAGCAGCTTGAGCCGATGGCAGCAGAAATGGTCCGATTCCATCAAGGGGAGATGGACCTTTCGCCTGATCCCGCAAGTGGCTGCCTGGGTCAGTCGAGACCATGGAGAGATAAACTACTATCTTTGTCAAATGCTTTCAGGACACGGGTACTTCCGGGCATATCTTCATACATTCAAACACGAAGATTCCCCGAAGTGTCCCACCTGCGCAGAAGTTGACGAGAACGCGGAGCACGTATTTTTCATATGCCCCCGTTTCAGTGACATTCGAGATATTTGGGAGGCTGAACTCTGAAGGAAAGTCTCGCCCGAGAATCTATTCGAAGCAATGCTGTCATCACAGACAGTCTGGGACGCAACGCGCAACTTTGCGGCGGAAGTCATGAAGGAACTCAGAAACGAGGAACGCACGCGCAAGGTTGCAGTATAGGTGAGAAATCTATTTGGAACCTCCTAATCACACATAACATCTTAGCAGGTTAGGGGGACGTACATTGGATGGAAAGAGTGGAAGAGCAAACAGCTGAGAACCCCCCTCGCGAAGTAATACTTCACGGTGGTGCCGCCAGGGAAATGGGAACGAACGATTGAGGTAAAAAGAGGAAAACAGGGTTTTTACTGGGTAAAAATCCCAGATCTGGTTTTTAACATCACTTTACCAGAATCTTTCGAAGATTTTCCTAAACCTCTATAAAAAAATTAAAAAAAAAAACATACACATATACCACGGATCCTCAAAGTAAGGAATGCCTTTACTTTCCGAGAGCTTCGCAGGCTGGAAGGTACTGCAACGTGGTGCGGATCTAGGTGGTGGATAGGAGAAATCTCGATATTCTGAACTGCCGTTCAGAATATAGGGTATTAACTAAGTAAAGTACGTCGGCGCGAACCAATACCTTCCAAGAAACCCAACTCTAAAAGAGGTGTCCACCTCTATACCGCCGTTAGCCGAGATGAAGAAGTCTCGGAAGAAACGACGGAAGCAAGGAGATGCGTCCGAAGAAATCCGGGAAGCTCGGGCAGAGCAGAGACGAGAGCCGAAAGACAACTCGCCGCCTGCTAATCAAAAGGTACCGGATAAGCCGCAAGCCTGGCAGAAGGTGACGAAGGACAGAAAGCCGAAAAAAGCGTCTCGGCCTAAAACTCGTTCAGATGCGTTGCTCTTCACAGCAAAGGAGGGGAAAAGCTACACTGCGATCCTCCGCAAGGTGAAACAGGAGGTTGGCGACTCTGGAGACTGCTCGGACAAGATACGCCGGACGAAAACTGGCGCACTCCTCATTGTTCTGAACAAGAACAGCTCTGGAAGTGCATTTTGTCTACAAGCGACCATAGCGGACGTCATCACGGATGATGCAGAGTTAGTAGTGAGCAACGTTCCAGAAGTGGAAATGGAAATAAAAGACTTGGACGAGATCACCATGAAAGAGGACATCTGGGAAGCTATCCAGAAGCAAGATGATGTAAATTGCAACATCTCCATGAGCACCATCAAGTCTCTCCGAAAGGCCTATGTAGGAACGCAAAGAGCGATCATCAGAGTCACCACAGACGTGGCCTCGAAGTTGGAAAAGAAAGGCAAGATACGGATAGGTGTGGTCAACTGCCGCATTAGCGCCACGAAGAGGCCGATAAAGTGCTTCAAATGCTGGCGCTACGGCCATCTCGCCACTCAATGCAAAAGCGAAGTTGATAGATCAAATCTGTGTCAGATGTGCTGATTCTGCCAACAAGATCGTAGGATGTAGGAACGAGCCCGATATGCCCTGTGTACCGAAAAAGAGGGCGTTGAGAACTGTGCCCATATTGCTGGTAGCAGCAGATACCCAGCATATAAGGAGGCGCTCCAGAAGCTTACCAGCAGACGGCAATGAGAGTACTACAGCTCAACCTCAACCACTGTGAGGCCGCATACGATCTGCTCATGCAGACGGTGCGGGAGCGGAAGGTCGATCTGGTTTGCATCTCAAAGCCATATAGACATCTTGGCACCCAATCCTGGGTTACTGACACCAGTAAGAAGGCTGGCATCTGGGCTTGTAGGAACCGACCTTTCCAGAGCACCACCAGTAGCAATGAGTATGCCTTTGTGAGGGTGAAGGTTGATGGCATATGACTATAGCTGCTACGCCCCGCCGAGCCTTTCAATCGATGACTTCACCGACTTCTTGAATAGACTGACCGAGGATGTGAAGCAGCACTTTCCTGTGGCAATCGCCGGGGACTTCAACGCCTGGGCCGTCGACGGGGGAAATAAGCAGACAAAGCCCAAAGGACAAGCCGTACTTGAGGCTATGTCATCGCTGGACTTGGTCTTGCTCAACCGAGGTGATGAACCGACCTTCATGAGAGGAAACGCGAGCTAAATCGTGGATCTTACCCTCGTGAGCAGCAGCCTTGCAAGAGGAAACTGCTCGTGGGAGGTAACCGGAATATACGCAGGTAGCGACCATCGTGCGATACTCTGGGAGGTTTTCACCCGCCAGAGACGCGAACGCGCACCGAAGAAGACAAATGCAGTAGGCTGGAAAGTGAGCTACTTCGATCCTAACCTCTATTTTGTGGCCATGGACGATACCCCAATCAGTGGCAATAATGCTACTGAGAAGGCAAAGAATTCATGAGACTCACGGAAGCGTGCGATGCCACCATGCCCAAGAAGCGAGCTATCAATCGCCGGCCACCGGTATATTGGTGGAATGATTCCAACGCGAATCTGCGCAAAGAATGTAATGCGGCAAGAAGATCATCTCAGCGCCGCCGGAAGAAATCAAACTTTGCTGAACTGGAGATGAGGTATAAGAAGGCACGCCATAAGCTCAACAAGGCTGTCAAGCGCAGCAAAGCACATTCCTGGAATGAGCTGACTGCTGAAGTGGAAGACGATCCGTGGGGCAAACCGTACAAGCTGGTGATGACGCCAACCTATGCCATCGCCAACGTGCCCGGAGCTCTTGGAGAAGATCGTCATAGTGCTTTTCCCACAACAACCGGAATTTCGGCGTGCCGACAGACGAGGAAAATACTTGGTCCCATCAATTACTGAGGATGAGCTGATGGAGGCGTTCGCTAGGATAGGGAATCGCTGCGCTGAAAGCCGCTATCCATGCGTTGCCGGGGCTATTCCTGGACGTATACAATGAGTGTCTCAGTGAGGGCGCCTTACCTGCAAAGTGGAAGCAGCAGCGGCCGATGCTACTCCCGAAAGGGAAAAAACCACCGGAAGAACCTTCATCCTACTCGAGCGCATCGTTCGCAGGAGAATAGAAGCAGCAGTTGAATCATTGCTCGCCAACAACCAGTACGGCTTTCGGAGAAGCAGATCCACCCTTGAAGCAATCAATCTGGTTGTTGATACAGCTAGAGAAGCGATTTCAGGGAAAAGGTGGTACAGGGGCACGAAAAAATACTGCTTAGTGGCAACATTGGACATCAGGAACGCCTTCAACTGAGCCAGATGGGACTGCATTATGGAGGCCCTCGAGAGTTTCGGTGTGCCTGAATACTTTCGGAGGATAGTAGATGATTATTTCACCGGAAGGGTTCTCAAGTACGACACGGAGTGTGGCTTTAAAGAGTACAGAGTCAGTGGAGGGGTGCCTCAGGGCTCGGTGCTGGATCCTCTTCTGTGGAACATCATGTACGATGGTCTGCTGGAGCTGACACTACCACTTGATGTAAGTCTCGTAGCTTTTGCGGACGATGTGGCCGTGGTGATCATGGGAAAACACCTGGAGGTCATCAAACTTGCCTTTGAAAGAACTTTCGGTGCGGTTCGCCGTTGGATGGACTCAGTTCGGCTGAGCCCGGCTGAGCATAAAACCGAGGCCGTGTTGATCACGAGGAGAAAGGTCTTAGAGATAATCACGCTGCAAGTCGGGGACTATGAACTTACATCTCAGCCGTACATTCGGTATTTGGGGGTGATGATTGATGCCCGGCTCAATTTCAAATAGCAGTTGAAACATGTGACTACCAAAGCATCTGTAGTTTGAGCTGCCTTATCACGCCTCATTGCCAACAGTGGAGGCCTGAAGCAGAGAAGACGAGCGTTACTATCGTTGGTGATTATGTCAGTACTCACCTACGGCATTGCCATTTGGGCGAATGCGCTCCAAGTACAGGAGATCCGACGCAAAGTGGCAGCTGTTCACAGACTAAGTGCCCTTAGACTCGCCAGCGCATTTCACTTCGTGTCATAGCCGGAATGATGCCGATTGAAGTACGAGCAGAGGAACGAAGATTCCTGTACCGGCAAAAAGGATGGACCCAACCGAGGAAAGGAAAAGGAAAAAGGAAAAGGAAAGCCCAACCGAGCTTGAGGCAGAGGCGAGACCTAAGAGCATGGATAGATGGCAGTCCCAATGGGGCACCTCTTCGAAAGGGAGATGGACGTATCGTCTGATCCCGCAAGTAAGTGCTTGAGTAAACCGTGAACATGTAGAGATAAACTACTACTTAACACAGATACTTTCAGGACATAGGTGTTTCCAAGGGTATCTTCATAAATTCAAACATGAGGATTCCCCGGATTGCCCGATGTGCCCGGGTATTGAGGAATACGCAGAGCATGTGTTTTCTGTGTGTTCACGTTTCAGAACGAGCTGCTCGGAGTGGGAGGCTGCACTTGGTGGAACGATCCTGCCTGAGAACCTGGTGGAAGCAATGCTGTCATCACAGGTAGCCTGGGATGCAACGAGTGACTTCGCGGCGAAGGTCATGAAGGATCTCCGTGAGGAAGAGCGGCGTTGAAAGAACGCTGTATAGAAGGAAGAGCTACCGGAACCTTCCCCTCACCGCTAATATCTGAGTAAGGTAGGAGGACGTACGACCCAGCGTTTTGGACAGACGAAGAGCAACAGCCGACGGTTCCGCGGGGATATGGGGTTAGTAGAAAAGAGGAGAAAAGGCGATTTTTACTGAGTACAAATCTCAGATCTGGTTTTTAATATCACTTTACCAGAATCTTTCGAAGATTTCCCCCAAACCTCTTTAAAAAAAAGAAAAAAACACGCACACACACACACCGCCTAGGAACTGCAGCATCTTGTCGATGGTGGAGGAGCTTAAGGGATATACCCTCACTAAGAAGCAGTAGAAGGCGAAGTCTGTCCTTTTCAGGACATCTTAGGAGAGAAGCCTTACTCCAAAAGAGGCGTGCAGAGTGGGCTCCCTACAACAGCCTGCCCCTAATGTCAAGGTGTTCGCCGTGCTAAGTTCTGGAAGGCGCCAGGGGTCCTTGGCGTCGCGAACGGCGGTCCCCGGAGCACCAGGTCCCACCCAAGGTGTATTAAGTGGCCTTACTCCAACATTCGGGGCTCTGTTAGGAGTGGACTGTTATACTTCCCTAGGTACTCGGAATAGAATGGAGCAAAATTTTAAAACAAATATATGTGATGATCGAGGAGGAATGAGCGGGCAGCATGCCCATCAAGCGGCACTTGATGCAAGTGCGGAAATTATGACCTGTACAACTTCGCTAAACCGAAGCCAAACGTCCATAAGGAGATTAAATGTAAGTTGATGGCTATTGCAACTTCTAGAAGACTGAAGGAGACAGAGATGGCTAAGCCAAGGCAAAAAAGCCCCCACCATCGCTTTACTCCGGTCATAGTGCGGATACCAATAACGTCGTTCCATACTCGGACTTTTTCCGAAAGGACGGCGAAGGATATCGAGGCGGAAAAACTGGAACAGTTAACGACAAATTCCCGGAAAACAGTCACGGGGAGGCGGCGCAAGCGCACCTCTCCGGAAGCGGAGTCTAAAGCCACGAAGAAACGGCAGGAGCAGGTAGCACCGCCGCCCACTGCCGAACCGCAGCTTCTTAATAGGTCAGAGTGGTAGGAAGCCAAACCTAAGAAGAAGAAGAAGAAGAAGAAGAAGAAGAAGAAGAAGAAGAAGAAGAAGAAGCTTACAGAGTAGTCTTCAAAGCAGAGGAAACGAGCGGCAAGACCTGATGCACTCATCATGAAGAAGAAGAAGANAGGTAGCACCGCCGCCCACTGCCGAACCGCAGCTTCTTAATAGGTCAGAGTGGTAGGAAGCCAAACCTAAGAAGAAGAAGAAGAAGAAGAAGAAGAAGAAGAAGAAGAAGAAGAAGAAGAAGCTTACAGAGTAGTCTTCAAAGCAGAGGAAACGAGCGGCAAGACCTGATGCACTCATCATTCGCCCAAAAAACAAGCGGTCACCCTCCGACATTCTTAAACGAATGAAGCAGGACGCGACGGCCCTGGAGTCCAAACAATGCGTGGAGAAGATCCGGAAAACAGCCACAGGAAATATGCTTATTATTCTCTCGAACGAGCGCTCCAAGAAGGTCCCCGGTCTGCAGGACGCCATCCAAAGAGGATAGACCTGAGTAGAGGCCCGGATCGGGGGGTTTGACTGACTCCAAAAATGTTAGTTAGTACCCCACGGGAAAGGCGGCGTCCCGGTCGAATTGTCGGTAAATGTGAATCGGGTGCGTGAGTAACTCGGCAGTAGCAGTCCCGCTGTGATAGGGACAGGTTCGGAAGGGGACTTTTGTCCTCCTTGTACTCAATGTTTACTTTATGTTTTTCAGTTGATTTATTCGCCAACTAATTAATATTAAGAGATGAAACAAAGACTGCTCAATGGAGAATTAAATTCCCCATCCATCAACCCCCGTTTCATCCCTTAATCTCTGCAATAAAAAAATTAATATTGCGACGAAAGTCACGGCGCTAAAGAAACCCAA